TGTACGATACTAGAGCAGATATTATGATTAATTTATAAAGAATATAACCTTTCCTTTCCGTCAGTTTGACATACCTATCTCGCATGGATTCGCTGTGATTAGTATACTGATTTAAAGCATTATTAAATGCTCATCCAATATTAATGGAAGCTTCGTATTTTTCACACTACAGTTATGTTGTCTAGTCCGACAAATAATCAATTTTTCTTCGTTTATCAGTAGGATTTCGAGACTACCATAAGTTACCATACCTAAATCTACCATATACGTTAGTTATATCTCATGTAATCAGCCTATTTCGTTTAAGGTGATGAAGGACTGTTAATTAAATTTTCCTACAATGAGATGAATAGGGCTGACGTTTTCATTAAATTTCGCACACACAAAATTTCACATATGGTATTAGAGATAGAAACAGGATAGACGCGGCGGCGATAGGAGCTAGGGGGCTGAAAGTAGGTCTGTTTTTACCATAAACGTGGTCCAAGTAGAAAATGAGTGACCATGTACTTACACAGAGTTTTTAGCCTCGAATTAATCACCCAGACGCAGGGGGAGGGCGAATAATGCCTCGAGCAACACAGATTGGGTGACACAAGTCAAGTAAAATATGTGAATCAGGGAGAGAGTAGACGGATCTTACGGAGCAAGAGGGAGACTGGATAAGACCCAGGAAAGGACTACGTAATAATATGACAGATTCTGGTCGACATTCCCAGCACAAGGGGGAAGGGGGTGAGAACGCCACGTGGAGTGTGAAGGGTTTTCGTGGATGCCGCTCGAAGAAGCATACCACACTACATCAAAATAAGCACGGTAAAAATTGTGACAGGGAAGGTGTGATAGGATGATTTAGGAAATGTGAATAGCCCAGGGCAGAAAGGGACATACCACAAGTGTTTGGCACACGTTTGGTCAAAGGATCGGCTTCACTTGTCTCTGAAGAATTTTTGAATGGTGCTAAGAATGGCGATGCTCACTAACGATGCCGACTACGATGGCGACGAAACGTCTGGGAATGTACCATGTCCATGGTCCTACTCTGGAAATGATGATGGATACAATAAACTCTGGACTAGGTACGTTCCTCTAAGTCTTCCCACCAATATGACGTTGCGAAAACAAGGTCAACCAACCTCTTCACATATCCTTGTTTATCAGAAAGGTATTGTCGTTCAGAGTGGACTGCAATTTCGACCTCGCCTAAGTCTTATCACATTGCCACATTGCCACCAGTTCAGATATGAATTTCAAGGGAGGTCAGGTATTTTTGGACATCACATTCTCTGGTCGGATTGTCGATGAAGCAATCGAATACATTACTTATTTTTAATTTATATATATGGCTTCCAGATCACCCCCCGCTGGGGGTGTTTATAAAACCTCGACGAGTTCGAAACTGTAGTCCACCCTGGATCAGAACACTTTTTGGGAAAGCAAGAATCTGCGAAATTAAATGGAAACGTCAGCTCCACTCATATTATTGTGGGAGCTACCAAATCTTTTATCACCTTAAACAAAATTGGTTGAATACATCTCATATAACTAACTTATTGACAATTTCAAAATCTAACTTATAAATGAGAAATAAGTAGTATTCATTTTACTTGTGTGCATGGCTGTGTTTTTATAGCCGAAGTTTATCCTTAAAATAATCGAATCTGCATTTTATATCCTATTTGAGTTTGATTGTTTCAGGTCCATATTTTGGACAGGGTACGAAACCTGAAATTTTCTCCTGAATCGAGTTCTTAAGGCCTTAATTATTTTACTGGTATTCTTTTATTCTTGCTTAGAAGCTTCATTTGTTGCAAACTTTTATTGGTTTGTAACCAAGTCTTTGAAATATTTGCCTAGCTTTGGAGACCATACGGAGGAGTTAATACTAAAAGCAATACTACTTTTATAATTGTAGAAAAAGCTAGACACCTTTTTGGGCATTCCCGAACTTCTGGTATCCCAGAGTCGAAATATGGCATTAGTGAAAACGCTTCAAAATTTGTCAAAAATATTTTGATAATATTTAGATGAAACGACTAGGTTCATTATAGTTGCCTTCCCTTTATTGCTATGATATTATGTGACTAAGAGGCCGGGCTATCTAACCTGCAACCATCCACCGCGAATTTTCTCCCCGATTCATTGGAATGTTATGGCGTCGATAAGAAGTTTTTTTGTATCTAGTAGACATCTAACTTTATTGCCATATGCTAGGAATATTCAGAGCCATTTTCGTAAAGAACCCGTATTCATTATAATATATTGACCATTATTTTATTGTAATATGAAATTGGGCAAAAATGAGCTTATTCTTACGAAATAGCGGTTCTAACATGACATTTTTTTCATTTATTTATTTATTTTTATCCATTATTGTCATATCGGCCGCATAGAGTGCTTCAATCACTCTGAAGGACTGAAATTCAGTGATTTGATTGCGAGTCTCGCACCTGCTTATTAATGCTCTTAGTCTAGCACCAAGAAAGGATTAGTGGGGGCCCTCTCTTTAAGTGACCGCTTTCAATATTTCTTTAATTGGAAAAATTAAATATGGCTCTACTTTTATATACTAACTTAATAAACCATACTTTCCCATTTCTCACTTTCAGAAGAGCCATACATTCCCAGTTATATGGACCCAAGCAACGGCCCAGAGCCTTGTGTCGTCTGCGGTGACAAGGCCACTGGCTTTCATTATCGCGCCATGACTTGTGAAGGATGCAAGGGTTTTTTTCGCCGCTCCGTCCAGAAGCGGTTGGTGTACACCTGCAAGTTTAATGGTCGCTGTTCTGTTTCTGACAAGCAGAATCGCAACAGTTGCCAAAAGTGCCGGTTCGATCGGTGCATTAAGGGCGGCATGGCAAGAGATTGTAAGCTGATTATTTGCATTCGTTAGATGTGCCATTTTCTAGTCGTCTGTCTGTCCACTACATTACCCATAAGCATATCCTCCACAGCCTCAATATTAATAAAAATTAAAAAATTAAACTTTAAAAATATTAATAATATATAAGATATATAAATATAAATAATAATTACATAACGTAAAAGATATATGTGTATAATATAGTGATAATAATCAAATTGAATTTAGTTCTTCCTGTACTTTCGACATTATTATTTGTTTTTTATGGGTTCATTGCTATAATATTATTATCCAAATGCTATGCCTTTATGTCGTATCACTTGTTATCATCGCGGCTAAATCTCGCACGGCCTAATCTCATAAGCGGCTTTTGGCTCTTACTTACACTCATCTTTGCTTGATGGATCTCATCTTGCTTTCAGTGGTGCTTGACGAGGACAAGCGCTTGGCGAAACGGCGTCTGATCGAGGCAAATCGTGCAAGGAAACGAGCCGAAGCACTCGGCGGTCCAAATGATGCTACATACCTCGGAGTTGGCAACGGGCCTTGCGAGAGTGGAGTAGGATCAGGGTGTGTGGCTGTTAATGGAACTATAGCCACAGGCCTTGGTGTGGCTGTTGGCGGAGTCGAGTCCACGCCGGCACATGCCTTGATCACTCCGGCCGGCCAGACTCTAACCGCTGGCAGCTACGGGCTGCCGCCAAGCAGTCTCGTCGCTTCTGCCGCCCTCTCATCGGTTTCCAATTCCATCAGCCTGTCTCCGCACTCGCCACGACTCGGTCAGTTCGGGGTGCTGTCTGCCTCCTCGTCTGGGCTCCAGCCACAACACTCACTTGGGCAATCCCACTCACTCGCGCCTCTACACCCCAATCACACCCGACATCTCGTACAACAACCTCAGCAGATGCCCTCTCAGCAACAGTCACTACAACTTGAGCATCATCATCATCATCAACATCATCAACAACAACAGCTTCAGCCCTTTCAGCAGCAACTCTCCACTAGCAACGGATCCTACAGCCAGCCTAGTTCACATTCACCTGCAGTCTACTCTTCGGGCTTCTCACAAGCAGCCAGCTGCTTTCCCACCGACACCACCATCACCACCCTGGCTTCAGGCGGTAACAATCCCAGACTACCCGAATCCCTACCACTTCCCTCCGGACAGTTCCCTCCACTTTTAGCCTCCCCATCTGCAGATTTCCAGCCACTTTTGCTGGCCACACCGAATGCCTTCCAGCATCACTCAGGCCATATGCTGCCTGTCGCCGACACAGTTGCTACATCATCTACCACTTCTAGCCCCCAAAGCCTCCCCTCTGTGCAGCAGCAACACCGGCAGCATCAGGATCTTGGTACCGACGTTGTGTCGACCTCAGTGGGCGACTCGGTTCACTGGCCACCGGCCGCCAAACAGAGCCAACAACATCTGCCTCTCGACGCTCCGCTGCCGTCTGACTTCGCAGTGGTCAAGATGCCCTCTGTCGAATCGAGTCTCGCCTCTGTCCACCAGCCTGTGTCCTCTCACTCAGACCCTCCTAGCTCTCGTGGTCGCCAGGCCAACCTTGCTCTTGTCCCGCCAGAGCCTCTCTCGGAGCCAGCCCGACCAGCGGAGTCATCCGCGTCGGTGTCGACTCCTCTTGTACCCTCCTCGACCGGAGTCTATCCCAACCGCGTGATGCGCGGTCCTGCTGCTCCCATATCGCCACCGAAGACTCCCCAACCTGGCTCCTCATTTTTCACAGAAGGTTCTATTGACTTTGTGTACTCCATCAGGCGTGCCTATCGAGCTATGTATGCTCCGGGGCCTTCAACTTTCTCCTCTGCTAAGACCTCCAAAAAAATGGACGGCGACATGGACAGCAGTGAGATCGGCCTAAGTAGCCTGTCAAAGGTGACTGAGATTTCCTATATCAAATGCCTATTTGACCTATTTGGTTGCATTTCCTGGATAACCTTTGTTTTATTATGGTGCGTCTAGCACATCGAGGTTACCGTATTCCTCGAAACTGTAATCACTTGCGAAGGAAAGTTGGGCTTAGGGGAATCTCGTGTTTCATAATTGTTGAGTTTACATCCAATTCGTGTGAAATTGTTTGGTGAAGGTATTCGAAAGTCGATCCTACCAGAAGACGACAGCAGCCTCTTGATCAGCTGTCGATTAGCTTTACTTGAATCTTCTTGGTGACATTGTTTTTGAGGTAATCCTCTTCTATTCCGGCGAAAACATATTAAGCTTTCGTCCGTCATATGACGGACGCCAGCAGAGCAGGGTATCATCCTTACAACCACATTCAAGGTAACGAGTCAAGAAAAGGAGACCATGCTCTGATGATGTCTGTCATACGACGGACGAAAGCTTAGCACGTTTTCACAGGATTCAGATCCTCGGAAACAGCCTCAGCGAAAAGGCCAATCGACAGCTGATCATGAGGATTTCTTCGTCAGCTTTTGGTGGGATTGACCTTCACCAAACACTTTCACTTAAATTGGAAGTTAGCTCAACAATTTAATCACTTGATTATATTTTAGTATGATATTTTTGTTGACCCTCCTGGCTTAATGGAGTCGTCTTTTACATCTCGCCGACCTCCATATGGCATCTGCAACATTACACTAATAGTATAGATCTTTTTACGATATTGTTAATCATCGAAGTTAGGCTCCTATTCGTTTTATTTAGATAAATAGCTTTTTTCCTATTCTCCTCCACTTTTTTCCCAATAGACCAACATGCGTGGAAACGAGGATTCTCGCACCTCGAGCGATAGGTCACTCTACCCTCTTACTTATAGTGACCTTTCTTCTGTGATCGAACCCATGATTACTCGTCTCATCTCCTTTGCGAAAATGGTTCCAGGTTTCGGTGAGGTGAGTTTCACTCCTTACCCACAAAGCTATTTACATTTGTTTTTTTTATTCAATGCCTTTAACGAGCAATCTAAGCTATCTTTTTTTCTATCGATAATGTCGATACGTGTATTCAATGTAGTTGTATCATAGGTGAACTCTGTTAAAAATATAAACTCATAACTAATAATTAATGGCAAAAAAATAAATGATGATCATGTCGGTTGTGCCAGATTTGCTCTGGTACTCATGTTTCACCCTATCCCTGGTGCCTTTGCTATCATCTGGCTAAGTCGCAAAGTCTGTCGATGCTCCTGCATCGTCCACAATCTTTATTCCAACCTTTATGTGGATTTGCTTTGTTTTTTTCTCTTCGTTTTTGCTCTGATGCTCACGCCGACCCAGTCATTCTGGCCAGTCTTACCATTCACTACTGCATGACTCATTCGTAAAACTTCTCAACTTTGGCGAAATAATTGGCTCATGGCTTATTATACTAGCAGTGTCTTGACCGCGCGAACTGTCTCTCTTAGGCGATCGATTTTCTGCTTCGGCTGCACACAAGCCTTAATTTGGACTGAGACCAGTTCATCAGGGAGAGTGCAAAGGTGCATCACTCGTCTCCGCCACTTGTCTTTAGTTCGAGATGCCCACCGCTTTCTTGCAGCCCTGCTTGTTTGCCTGCTGACTTATGTGCTTATTTATCTATCTATCTATCTACTCACCATTGTATCTATCTCTGTTTGCTCTCGTCACATGATTGTCTTCTAGTGTGTCGATATGTCTGTATATTTCTGTGCCTCTGCTCTTTTTATCTCC